ATGGTCCATTAAGTTTTTTTTTATATATATATATTTTATTGATTTTTTACAGAGAGGAAGGGAGAGAGATAGAGAGTCAGAAACATCAATGAGAGAGAAACATTGACCAGCTGCTTCCTGCACACCCCCCACTGGGGATGTGCCCACAACCAAGGTACATGGCCTGGACTGGAATTGAACCTGGGACCCTTCAGTCCACAGGCCGACGCTCTATCCACTGAGCCAAACTAGTGAGGGCAGCAACTGAGGTTTTGAAAACTGATTAATGGTTTCTCATTGACTTTAACATGTGTTGTTGTTTTTTGTTAATCATCACCCAAGGATATTTTCCATTGATTTTCTTTAGAGAGGGTGGAAGGGAGATAGGGAGGGGTAGAAGGAGTGGAGAAAGAAAGAGAGAAATAGAGGGAGAGAGAGAAACAGAGAGAGGACAGAGAGAGAAAAACGTCAATGTGGGAGAGACACATTGATTGGTTGCTGAAACCTGAAACACAGTCATGCCTTTACCTGAGAATCCGAACCTGAGACTCTTTCCATCCATGGGCCAATGCTCTAACCATTGAGTAACCGGCTAGGGCATGATTACATTTTAAATAATCTTTAAATACAGAACTCTAAACTGAATGGCAAAATCATAAAGAAAAGCAAAGCGAGGATTGCACAAAAGCCAGCGAAGTGCAGGATTAAGGGAAAGGAGAGGGGTGCGAGCAGGGAAGGAGGGAGGGCATGAGCGGCTCCTGAGATGGTAATGCTCTCACTGTGCATCTGGGCTGGCAGAGGACACAGCATCTGCTTTACACTCTTCTGAATGTGCGTGTTTATTTATGTGTTTGAGTCTATGTATGCGGGGATTTTACATATGTGTGCATGTATGCATGTATGTGATGTTCTGTTCCAAATGCTGATACATTTGACCACAGTAATACCTGGGCAGATGTAGGCCTTTCTTGAGGATTTTCTTTTAAACAGCTTTTAATTAACTTCTCAACCATAGGCCACGGGGCACAACCATATTCTTTAACTGGATCTAAAACATTCAAAAAGATGCTAGAACATTAGACAAATCAGAACATTTATTTCCACTCAGTGTACATAAAAGACCCAGATATTGCAAAACACTGATTTCTATAATCCTGTATTAATTATGAATCTACTTATCACAAAAGCCAATTTTGTTAGCATTATCTCTACTTGAGACATTAAAAAAGATTTACGG